ATAATATAATATAATGTTAATATAACATTAACATAAAATAAAGAAGCATTTGAACTTTAAGCACCCTAAACGTCTCATTTTACGCATAAATTTTTAAAATTCCATACTTTTCTTTTGAATTTGTGCATAGTTTCAAGAAACTCTTAGAAAAGTCCATCTAACGTTGAACTATAATATCAGTCCCTGAACTATAAAATTGTTCAAATTTTAGGCAAACCTATAAGGTATAAAATTAGATCATGATTTGGTTCAAGTAGAACCATAATATAGTGTAGTCAAGTTTAAGAGGTAAAATAATATGGTTCGACTTTGCATCGTACTAAAATTTCAAAATATTAGCACAATATTATTGCTCACCACTTTCCAAATTTTTTAAATGTGTAATTTCAATTTTTAAATGCATAAAAACCACCATGAAAGACCACCTCTAAGTAACGACCTTCTCTATTTACGACCACTTGTGGACGGCACAGAATTTTTGACATAGACTTTGTGTTGAAGGAAACCTTTAGGAGATACCATCAAAACCTTTCCCAGTGATCAGGAAATTCTTACCAACAAATGCGGAAAAGATTAATGAAGAAAACACAAAAAAATATCTTAACGAAAATTATTAGCGAAACAAATAAGAATATTAAAATGTATTCAAATTATTTGTATGAGGTTCATATTTAGAGAGCTGTTTTTGACGATTTTTGAAAAAAGATTGACAACCTCACATGTTACAGTGAGAGTGCACTTAAGTGCAGTCGTCTTCAGTGCAGTAAAGTCGTCTTTAGTGCAGTGAGAGTGCACTAAAGACAATACTATCAATGATTATTTTGGATTAAGTTAAATTAGAAAAAAAAAGTCAATTTAGAAAGAACTAAGCATTTCAAACAAACAAGCCTTAAAGGTAAATAATTTTTATGATATAAAATTAATTGCAAACTTAAACAAAAAATACAATCGTTTACTTATTGAAGATATTTCTATTTTTAATAATTGATAAATTTTCTTTTACGCATAATTATATCAGTAGGGTTCATTCACTTTGAAGCTAAAGTTTACTCATCGATCCCGTTTTCATGAAGCCAACAGAAATGGCATTTCCTCACCAAGGAAATGACACAGAGAAAAATTAAAATTACTTGCAAAAAATTATGTACCTTCCATAACATTTTGAAGTCAATACAAGTAACCCCTAAAAGCGACCAACCTCCTTTACCGACCATTTTACTGTGGGGACAGAGAGGTTTCACAGTACAATACAACTCAATATATCTCGTATAGAAGAAATCTTACTTAAATCCTATTGCATCAACATGCTTTATTTTAATGTTAAAAAACCTTGTCTGCAATAGATATTATTACCCCTATGAAGTTTGTTGACACTTTTTTTTTAAAAAAATACGCAGTGCTTCTTAAACATTTATTAATTTGTAGTAACAATTAAACTTCAAAATTGTATGCTTTTCTTCAAGCATGCTTCTAATTTTTGAAAAATTCAGCATTATTCAACATCCCAGCTTATTTTCATAATTAGTTTCTTCAACATGAACAATAAGAATATTTTATTTCAAGAATGTTTTTATTTCATAATTATTTCAAGAATATTTTTATTTTTTTGTTCTTATGGTATTCAATTCAGGAAAATTTTGTCTTCTTTGTCCTGTTTTCGATTAGAGTGAAACATTTTTGGATGAATGCGTGCCATTTTTAAAAAAAAAATGTTTTAAAACATTTCGATTGCAATTTAACAAGTCTGTAAAATATAAACAGTTGTTGAAAAAAAATTCCATGCTATATACTGTTTTTACGTAAAAAATAAAAAGAATTGTGCAATTGTAAAGAGCTATTTTAACATTTAACTAGGATTCAAGACGCTACATATTCCAAATTGCTAGAAAAGTTAATGAATTATTATTTTTTCACATTCTGATCCTTGCTGATTGGTTTGTAATTTTCTCTCATTCTGATCATTTCTGATTAAGTTGTAATTTTTCGCATTCTGATTAGTTTGTAATTTTTTCACATTCTGATCATTTCTGATTCATTATAGTTTATTTTTTTCACATTCAGATTAGTTTGTTATTTTTTCACGTTCTATTTATTTATGATATTCTTTTCACATTATGATTTTAGATTATAGATAAATATGATATTTTACGATAAACACTTTTTTCCTTCGCTTTCATTCTTACGTTTTAACTGTTACAGTAACTTACTTCTGATAAACAGACTCCCATAACGCATACACTCCATGTTCGGGGATCATTAATTACAAATGGATATGGTTTTTTCTTTCCACATGCAATCTCTATTTAAAAAAAATAATGTTAATACTTTACTTGAAAATGACAATAATAAAAGATATAATTTATATGAGATACAACAAAAATATAAAAGAATAAGTTTTAATACACATAGTATAAAATCTATGTGTCATAAAAGCATAAACCTATGTGTGTTAATTCAATGACAATAAAATAGAAAACTGAGGTGTTAAATACAATACATTAATGGTGAATTGCAAGATGATAATTATTTTAATTCTTCACTTTTTAAGTGATAAAGCCTATATTTAAAGTACAGTATTATACATTAATACAATAATAATATAATTATAAATTGCATTAATGATTAATCCTCTTTTATTCAGTTTTTTTGCTAGATAATTATTTTCTTAACGATTTATCAATTAAATAGTTTATTTATGTATTAGTTTATTTATTAATTAGTGTATTTATTTATTAGTTTATC